CTCGGTGACATGTGCTGGGAGCCGTTGGGGTGCAGCTATCATGTGCTGCACATTCCTGGTGCACCAGGAGGGAGGAGGCAGAAATGACTGCTCCTAATCCCCACCCCAGCGGTGTGATTAGCTCATGATCACCACTCCCCTAGGGTTTTCTTCTCACTGACATAAATGCTCTTTATTAAGGGAAAAAGGCTATTTTTGTTCAGAGATTGGTTTACACAAACAGCTGCTTCTCCTCTCAAGTAGTGTGGTTCACACTAATTAATACAGAGTCATACAGCTATCACTGGTGAGACAGAGCTGCCTTAGTCCAAAATATTCTGCTAGAACATACTTATGCAGCAAGCTACATGCACTGGAATTTTAAGTTGCTCACACAGTATACGCTCTCAAGGTCTATGCATCTGTTTGCTGCTTTCCTTCTCACCAAATCAGAATGCCCATCATAATAAGGAGTTTTGTTTTGTTCCAACCTAGTCCAAGCCCCTTTCTCACTTTTAAGGAAGCCCTACAATGAAGCTCATACTAACAAATATTCATAACTCCTACATCCTCAAATAGAATTCAAATCATTGCTGAAGTTTCACAGCAAGAAAAAGAGAAGTGGAGGTCACATTAGAGAGGTTATGAAGCAGGGATACAACTTATTGGCCAACAATTTTCATGCACAAAGCAGACAAAAACTCTATTAGGGACAAAAATACTAATAATACTTCTCTGTTTGCATGGCGTTATAAAACACCATGGCTAGGTTTGAGTCCCACTCTTCAACCCACATACAAGTTTTGAAAAACAGACAGAAAGCAAGCAAAAACCACCACCAAGCCCCCTGTTTACAGTCAGTGACTGTAACATAAGATGCCCAACTGAAGGTTGCCACACTTGATACTGGAAGCAACTGCAGTGCATGCTTAAAGTGTATCTGCACCTGGAGATGCTCCAGTATGTTTTTCTTAATTAAATAACCCAAATTAATTCCATGTTAGATGCTATTATTCTGAAGAAGAATACTCACATCTGGTATTAATAAAAAATAGTTATAGTATTTTAAACATGCCTTTCCCTACTACTTAGGTTGACTTTCAAACACAAACACAGGCAAGTCTGATTTACTTCATTCATACGATCTTGCAGCCATACTAAAATACTTACAATATAACAAGGTCATATCAAAGTTACTACACAATCTGGATGTTCACAAACTCTTGTTAAAAACAAAGTAAAAGAGGAAAGTAGGATAGCTCTGGCCTATGACTTTTCTCATCAGTTGGAATACAGTAGTATCTGTTTGCCCTGGGAATTAGATAAAGTAAGATCCAATCCCCATGAATATAAACCAGCTATTTCAGGAGCAATAACTGCAGTTCAGTAGCAAAGGGAGAGCAAATACTTAATTTGAGGGCTGTGTTATTTTTAAATCTACTTTTTTCTGGCTTGGAGAGTTGCATTTTCCTGGTCAGCGATAACAGAATCAGCCAGGATTTTCCCTTGGCTATTCTCATGATGGAAACATTTGTGTCCACTCTGGTAACTTTGTGCTAGCAAGTGTCAAGCAAGTCTTGAATGGTACACAGTTTATTCATTGCGAATTCACTACCTTTGAGAATCAGCATTAACTACACTTTCTAATCATCATGGATAGTTTCTGAGCTGAACAACCCCTTGTAATGGCAGAATCTCACTGACTGAGGCAGATTTGTTGCCTAACTAAAATGAAATTCCCCTCAGCTTTTTCTTTAAGCTTTTATTTCCTGTCCAGGAAATTCTCAAGTACTGAACAGTGTGTGATTTATATCAGCATGTATACAAGAAGAAATCCATAGAAAGATGGAATGCAAGATCACCAGATGCCTCATCACAGCTCCTCCTATTGGCTCCCTTCATGCTATTTGTTCAACAAACACATGAGGGTCTTGGTCAAGTGCATCAGAGCCAAACACCCAAGTACCCACCCCAGAAAGCACAGAGTTGGTGTCAGAGGACAAAGTTATCTGTATTCTACCCTGCTGTGGCTTGAAAGCAAGAAACACTGACTCCATCTTAGCCTTACTGGTCTTGGCTTTAGCTTTCAAAGAAGAGAGGGCTGTGCAACCCGGTCTTTTGACATTTACAGTCATACATGTATGTGAAAGTGGAAACCACCAGTTTATTTCCACAGGCCAATATTTGATCCTCAGAGCCCAATGACTTTGGCTGCCACTGAACCTGGAAAGATCGGTGTTATGGCTTAGAAGTACTTACTTTGGTTTAGTATTTTGTTTACTGCCCCCTTGCAAAGCAAATGCCTGAAGAAAAGCAAGAAATTGGTCTATCTGTAGCTCTTTCAATCCCCTATACAGAACCCCAAACTTGCCAAAACACCTTCCTAGAATGGTACAGAGGAATGGGAAAACTTAAGCTGAAACCTACCAAAACATAATTGTATTGGTGATGCTACTATCTTGTAATCAAAGGTGCATTTCTTCTAAGCATGTTTCTGCAGCCAGCATCCTCATGGCATTTCAGTAAAAGCCCTGATATTTAAAATGATTTATATTATTGGCAGGTTTTGCCATTCTAATATTTTTAAGAGCTTTTACAACAGAACAGAGATTTTAATTTGCAAGTCAAGTTTCTGTCAGTTGATTTCTGTCAGTTGATAAAAGTCTACAGATGATCCAAACTGATAGACATCCACAACTCACAATCATGCTTTCTGAAAAGCTTAGAAATAAAGCAAGTCTGATTAGCAATGGGTGATTCAGCAACAAAGTCATACTGAAAACAAAAAAAGACGAGGCACTGAGGTGCAGAAGAAACGTAGGGAGTTCTCCAAGACATCCATGTGCAGGGCTTACAGCTGAGATCCCCAAACTAAGCTTGAGAGATGACTGGTGGTCCACATACTGAGTGGTCAGATCTGTTAAATGAAACCATACTGACCTCAGAGCTGCTTCAAGCTTAACAGGGACACAGAGCAAAACATGAGAAAAATAGAGTACTAACAGTGACCTTTTGGTCCAAAAAGTTTGGAAAATACTGGGATAGAACTGGTTAAAGATCACTTTCAGATGGGCACGGCAAAGGCACCCCAGATACTGACCACTCTAACTGGATTAAGGTATCTCCAGCATGGCATAAATCAATGAATAAATGTGGTCTCCAGACTCTGTACTCATTAATGACTGTCTTCATACAAAGCATAAACCACGACAGGAAACCTGAAAGAGATTAACTCTTTATCTTTTAGTAACAGCACAAATGTAGAGAACAATTCAAAATTAAGAACCCAGCCACTACTTCCTCTGGTTGAAGTTTCTTGGAAAACAGAAAAGGGAATCCTGTAAGGAATCAAAATCTCTGATTTTCAGTCCTGAACATACAGCTAGATAATAGCCACAGAAAACACTACAGAGTGAAAACAAGAAAACATAATCAGTATCAAAACACTTGGGCAGAAATGCACATTCTAAGGCCCCCACATCCCCTGGTCTGTTTACAGTATCAGATGCCATAGGAACTCCTTTACTGTGCACATGGATGTTGCTCACAGTCATCACACAAAGCCACAGACTGAACAGCTACCAAATCCTTTCCACACTAACCCCAAATAAACACAATGGACTTAAACCGAGGCATCATTACGTTTTATCCCTACAGAACCAGTTCTCTCTGAAGATAAATCTGTGCTGAAGCCACTTAGGTGCTTTCCTGATCTAGGCATCCTTTACCCTATCTTAGTACTGTGGAAGAAATGTTTGTAGCTGTCTCACACATTAGCTCCTCCTGTGCCTAAACTGTGTGTGCCTTTGTTCCAACTCTAAGTGAAGTTGTGGACAGATTGACTGGACCGATAAACTGGCTGTATACACATAGATCCCAGTAGCTACATCCATAAGGAATGGTGCATGAATGCCTGCTCTAAGATGGGCTTGTGCACGGCTACATAGACAATGATTCCACCTGTAGGAAAGAATTTTAGAATTTGGCTCTGAAAGCCCCAACTGAATGGAAAGAAGTGATTTCAGTATTTTTCAGATGAAACAAAACTGTAAATGGAACAACACAGTATTGAGTTTACGAGCTTGTACCTATGAAAACCTTTAATCATGCTGAATGTAGGGACACAGAACTGCAACAGCTTTAAATTGTTTAATTGTTACTTTCTACCACAGCTCAGGAAGGGACACGTCATTCACAATTTCTTCTTATATTTTTTATTCATTAATTTTATTTTAATAAATGTAATGTTACTGACTGAGAAAGAGACTGCCATCTCTGAAGACTGATGGCTGTTAGTCACAGAACAGCTACACAGCCCCCAGTGATGCAAGCTCTCCCAGAAACTGCTTTCCCCTTCTCCCTCTCCTCATCCCCATCAGACATGTGACCCAGCCTTGACCTGCAGGGATGAGAGGGAAGTTGGCTTTTTTTAAGTCTTTCATTCTTTAGCTCCTACAGTAAGAATACTGTAAGGCAGCCAATTACTGCCAATTGCAGCACTCATTTCTGCAATGACACCTATCCACTGGGAACTCCTCTGAGACAACCAACCACTTTTCAAACAAGCCTCCAAACAGCTGTCAGATGATACAGGATTTTGATCATTACTGACCTGAACACACTCAAACTAAAGACTTCATGATGAAAGATGTATCCCATTTAGAGTCCCCAGAGCCATCCAGTCCTTCAGAACACTGATACTATTTTCTCTGAACAAAGCTTTTCAGGAAGTGGCTAAAATAGCACTCAAGCCTTAGTAAACATCTGAACAGAACTGAAGTCAAAACGTATTATTCAGTAGTTGCCATGTCTGGTCTAGCTGCACCATTATGCGATTTAGCAGCCTGTCAGCTTCAGGCAGCATTTTGACAGTACCCATAAAAAGCCATTTTCTTCAGAGAGGATCCAACTTTTCCAAGCGCAAGCCAGGAAGGTAGTAGTGACAAGAGCCAGGGCTACAAAAACACAGAATCACTCCAAGAATAAAACAACCATCTGGAGAAATACTTTCTTTGGTTTACCTTAAGCAGAAGTGGATATTTGCAAATTCTCTGAATTGGAGTCAGCAGATAACCCTCTAGTGGAATGTCTGTTGTCTTTCTGCCTCCCAAAAGCATGCAACCCTGTAATCAAAAAAGGAAACAAATGTTACCTCAGACACAAAGCTTCCAGATGCTCTTGGACATGGTTTTGTATTCCTGTAACACATATTATGGTCAGAAAACACTTTGCCACACCTAAGACACAGGGAATGGGACTTCATTCACCACTGAAATACAAAAGAATCCAACCTACTCCAACAATTAATAGTGTTTATTCACGATGCAAAGTTTGCACTGTTGGTCCAGAAAACTCTTGAAGGCCAAAATAAAGCTTACTACCTAGTAAACACATCATTAACTCCAGTCCAATCCTTATGTCTGGAGGAAATCGATGCTGAATTGAAATAGATGAATCATCTGTATCACATCCACCAATTCTCTGGCAAAACATTATGTCTCATCACAGCTGGACAAACAGTATGGGTGCACTGTCTGGGTAACCAGCACACATGGAGCATCAACCAGTCACAGCACATGGTGCTGCTTGCCCAGCTACCCTCCAAGCATTGGTTAAACACAGTAAAGAAGGAGACAAGTATCAGACCAATACACCAAAGAAATCCAAGTCCAAACAGATTTTAGGTTGAGGAACAGAAGCAGCAACTGATCAACCTCCGCAATACTCACACAATAAGTTCACACAATTTTGGAGGGTCCCTGCATTCCAGAAGAATAATTTCACAGATAAATTTGTTCACATTACCTCAAACAAGTGGTGCTTCAACTTGCTATGGGAACTTTTTTATCAGTATTGATATGGAAAGGTAGTGTAAGAATTGGGTATGGCATAGAAAAAAAATAACCTACAGTCCTTTTAACCTGTCCTTGTTTTGTTACAGTAATCTCTATTCTCCATGTGCTAAACAAAGACTGACCTGTAAGCTTTTATACGTTTCCCTGAAGATTCTGGTTTTGGCTGCTGCCAGAGACAGGTAGTGGACTCACAAACCTGTTTTAGATAGACTAGTCTACATTCCTATGTTTGACCGTGAATCTGGACAATTTGCTCCAAATATCACCCTGGTTGCAAACCTGTCCTGTCAACAGCAGCCAAAGTTTAAATTCAGTTCAGCCAAGATCTGCTTGCTTTGGGGCATCACCGATAACATTTTCCCTTGTGAAATGCGTGCTGTGGCTCAGACACACTCTGAAATTTAGTAGGTTTTTGGCTGTAGTTCAACAATCCTGCTCTTCAAGGAATGTTCACAGACATCATACATAAATCTCATTAGTCCTAACTGGTATTTTTACAGACAATCATCTGTAAAATAACCCTTCCCCAGGCTGTTCTAGATCCATGGCGTTGGCTACCAGCTCACAATGCTCCCTGTCCAATTTTCCAAGTCTCAAGTGATTCAGTCCTTCCCATCTCTTCTTTCAGCCCTCTCTCTAGCTCTGGGCTCAAAACTGCCCTTTAACACTTACTGATTTTTCAGGCACATTCCCACATCCTATATTTCAGCAGCTGCGAAGGGGCGATCAGGCCAAACCTATCCTCACAAGCAAAGCTTTGTATTTTAATGCAGCTTTCTCTGCATGGTGGCATTATAGCATTGGCTTTAGGAGGCAATAGAGAAGAGAAGGGGGGCCTGGAAGGTATTACAGCAGCCACAGCAAAGTAGGCATTTCAGTGTAGCCTCTCCTCCCATATTTATGGCTATTTTAAGAGTCTCTTGGATTCAGGTACTGCAGCAAGCCACAGCAGACAGTGTGACATCTTTTATGTGCCTTGTAATCAGTTTGCCAGCTGCTGCCGGTAACAGACAGGAGGCTTTTGCCAATCCAGTGGCAGTGGAGAACACTGAATACTGGGAAGGATGGTGTTTACATGCACTTCTGTCTCTCCTCTTTCTCACTAGATTCTCTCAACAGAAGTACCCAGAGGATCTCACAAACAAAGGTCATTTGGTGACTCAAACTAATGGTTTAGCAAGGTTCATTAAAACTCGGAGACGACAAAGAGATTCTGACTACCCAACAGCGTAAGTGCTTGTCCCTGCTGCTCCCTCCGAGGCCTGTATTTTGTGGCTAAAAGAATGCTCTGGCTCTGCTTGTGACAAACATTTTATGCAGTAGTTTTCGTTTGCTGTACTATATTGGGAAAGAGAAGAGCTTTGGCTGAAAGGAAAAAAAGAGAAGAGCAGGGAGAAGAACAGAGAAGCAGGTCCTTTGCAGAAAGACAGCCTTCCTTTTAGTTCATAGCATTTTCTAAGAAAAACAAAAGCTAGTGTACTGAATTAGTCCCTCACCTACATGCCAACTGCATTCCAAATGCTATGTGTTCATAACTAGGAAAGCAAGAAACTCCCAAAATTAAGCAGATTTGGGGTGAAGGACAGGAGGAGAAACATCCAAGAAAAGAAAGAAAATTAAGGAACGTTGGGCAAAAGGCACTATCTACTGGTTATTTATTCTCCCACCCAGCCTCTTTCAGCATTTGAAAGCTGTATGCCACATTCCCTCCCAACATTGATTCTAATACATCAAAGGTTAGACAGGGAGTCAGGTCATTTTTGATAAAAGCAGCAATGATGCAGTGAAAGCAATTCATCCAGACTACATTTCTTGCCCACAACTGGACTCCTAGGGAAAAGGGTGGCAGAAGCAGGCCACATTTTCCTGGTGGTTCTGCAGATGGTCAATTGGTTGGAGAACTGAGCAGGGAATCACATCCACTGGGAACTAGTCACGGCCCTGCTGCTGACTTATTGCATTACTCCTTTCACAATCTTTGCTCAAATTTTCTGTTGCTTCTTACAAAATAAATAAAAAATCCATTTCCACTGAAATCTCTCATACCAGAGCTGTGCTTAGTTCTGTGCTTCAACTCATCAATGATTTCAATACCCATCCATCCTGAGTGCTACATACCTGGAATGGGTAATGTCTGCAAAATGCCCACCATTCCTGGGATACCAAAAGGTTATTACGAGTACAGTGCAAAGTCACATCAGTAAGTCAAGAGTGCTAGAGAAGGTGCTTACCAAGAGGAATGTTCTCACTGTTGGGATCTTGTTCAACTCCATCAGCAGTCTGAGTGCTTTCTCGTGGTTGCTACAGTACTCCTCGTACACAAAGAATTTGTCTTTCTGCAAGGAAAAACAGAGTAACTTACTGACTCAGACAAAACTGGAGTGACTGTTTTGTCACAGTCCAATACCAAATTCTTTACAAAAAGGTGTGTACATAGAGCAGCATTAGAGTTGCAGTTTACATGAAGTGCATGATACCTCTCTAACGTGAATAATGTATAGAGGTGTTCAACTAATTCCTGACTTACTCTAACATCAGCTTTCTGAGCACACAGGCTTCCAGGACTTTTCCTCTTAATGCATCACTGAAATAGTATAGTCTTTGCTGAAAAAAGGGATTTTGCTACCTCAGGGATACTTGCATGTGTGTCGGGATATTCCAGAGGATTAGGTAGGAGCAGAGTAAAGTCAGGAGCAAAGGGGCTGACATTTCTGAGCTGTGCTGACTACTGCAGGAGGAAGAAACAGAAGTGGCTGGGAAGAGCCATGATCTGGAAGGTAACTGTATCACAAAGCAAGCAGCTGGAAATCCCCTGCCTTTCAGGGCTGAAGAGGAACCCCCAGTGAGTTGGCTGGTTCACTCTGTGTCCTGAAACAAGCAGCCAGGCTTCATTATTTCAGTGCAACAATAAACAGTGGTGACTTGGCTGTCTATAACAGTTTCTCTAAATGAAAGAATTTCAACAAATACACACAAAATAACAAACATTATTACAGAAATTAAAGGAAGGGAAAGGTAGGTTCACAACTAGGCTGAGGTACCTGCACTGGAACATGTCACAGGGACCAGCACATGCAGCAGAATGAAATCCCCTGTTAAGAAACAAGGGTCAGCTCACAGCAGCAAGTTCTGCTTTACTGCTCTCCAGAATCAAAGACGGTACAACAACTTCTGTCTAAAGTGATCAGAGATGCTCAACTCATTGCAAACATCAGATATTTGGAAACATTGAAATGATTCACAAAAGCAGCACTAACAACCATCTCCATACCTGAGCAGATCAGGCAAGGAGTGATATGATCCTTTCAAAGCTGTTGAAGCAGCAGCTGTATTACAAGATTCCAGTAACACATTCACTGGAACAAAAGGGGGGACAAAGCACAGAAACCAAAAAGACGCATCTTTTATTGGGTCCTTCTCACAACAGTAGCTTCTTTCCTGGTTGAGGCCAGCTCCTATGCCACAACAGAGGTACCATGCAAAGCTACTCAGACATCCTACTTCACATATCAGAAGTAATTTAGATGCATTAGTGTGGCCCTCTGCCAGGGGTAATATGTGAGGCATCTCAGGGCACCATGCCACGCAGACAATGCCCTCCGGAGTTTGCTGTGGCATTCACATCAGTAATTTTCTCTTTAGGATCCTGGCCTAAAAACATTCTATCTGAATCTTTCCATCTCCCCTGAACTAGGAAGTTAGTTTTTCTTACTATTGATTGGACTCGTATCACTGGTCAGAGCCTCCTCTGTTAGCTGAGAGTATCTGCAGCATCTATGTACTTTTAAGACAACTCACAGGGGTCCAAAGAACTACTGTCAAATGAAGGAGTTGAATAACACAAATCGAAGTGAACACCACTACATTCATCTGGCACTCCCCCTTTACTACTGTCATATGGAAGAGAAATTGTGTTTAATATTAGTTTATAAGAATTTGACATTCTGGTCAGACACACAGTGACTAGATGGACATGCTCACAGACTGTAAAATGCTTTTGGATTTGGTATATTATTAATCTGATAATTTTTATTTTCCCCTTGTACCTCCAAAGGAAGAACTGAGAATAAACAGATGAATGTCCAAACACAATAACAATGGTACGAAGCAAATAAAGTGATAGCCACAAAGAGTATGGTGCAAAGAGCTGGAATGCAGATGTTCAAGACTTTTATCCTTCATCTACAGCTGTTCATATTACTACTAGAGTTTAATACTGGGAAGCTGAAAAGAAACAAAGGCTTCTGATCACCAGATGCAGGAAAAGGCAGGGCTGGGTCCATAGCACAATAGAAAAGAGGCAACGGGAAGGCATGGGATTGTTTTCAACCATAAAAACTGAAGAATTACAGAATGAATAGACAGATATACGAGTTTCTCCTACATTTCTTCCTCTCATCTCCCCTCAACTCCCTGGATGCACACAAGCAGCATGCTTGAAACTAAAAATAGTAACCATTAACATTACAGCATCCGTTACATCAATGCACACAAAATGTCATTGCTCAGGTTTCTGACTGCAGCTTTGAGTGCCTGGAGTTTTGGGAGGTTATATTTAGATCACAACAAAATCCCTTTGCTAAAGCTCAAATCAGTACAATAATTACACACACACCAGAGTGCTTTCATCAAGTCTTTTCCAGCTGTCCTTCATGCATGAGACCCACAAATATGAGAACTATGCTTTAAATTACTCAGTGTCTGAAGTGTTTAATTTCCTCTCTGGGTGACATTCAGTCCTGGACTCTCCCATGCCCTGGTGAGGAAATTATCAGTTACATAATTACAGATGTTAGCCCAGGAATTCTGAACCTGCAGTTATTCTATATTAAAGTGCAATTATGGTCAGAAATGTGACCACATAAAAATGCACCTTCTTACTCAGCAAATCTGCTGGATACATAGTTAGTCCTTCTGATTTTAGTGACGGAAATAAGTCTATAATATTCTTAGTTTGGTTAAAATAAATCTTTAACCAATAGTTTATTCTCCAAATATGTTATTTTAGGTCTACTAGAACTGCCCACAAATTAGTGCAAATTGGAAAATAGTTCTGACTAGAAAAAGCAAGTAAGACTTTGGGAAAATTGTAACAATTTTATTTGGACACATTTTTAACAAAGAGTTTTCACGTTCCAAAGCAGGTTGGAAACAATTTTGTCAGCATGAAAAACCTAAACAAAACAGCTATAATTCTCAACAAAACAAGATCTCTGACGACTTGGACAGTAAAACTGATCACTCATACAACACTGCTCCTAAAAATGAGAAGAAAACATGTGCCCCTTGAACAAGTTTCTAGCTATTACTCCACCAAAGCTCTAGCAATATGGCAGTATCAGAAATGAAGCATCTGTCTATTCCCTGCCCTTCTGCTCTGCAGACAGTCATACGTTCTCATGACCTGCACAAAAGAGCCTGTGCTGATGAGGTGTGATTATTCCAAGCTCATATACTCTCTTTGATGTTACAGACTTTTCTCCATGCCATTTTGTTTAAGGCTGCAGATGAAATTTTGAATGAAGCATGTTCTTTACTGTCCGTTATAGTCATACTGAACTAGAACACCAAAAGAAATCCTAGCATCCCACATCAGACAATGAACTCATGATCACCTGATCAAATGACCTTAAGGCAAACAATGTATGAAGTAAAACAATTTTTCACAACTACATATGAGAGCAAGTGCATTACCTCATCTGTTAAAACACTTCACGGAGTCAATGTGCAGTGATTATTCTTTCAGAACCCTTACAAAATCTGTCAGCTTGCTTCAGGTGTTACTTACCCAAAATGAAAGACCAAAGAAACAGGTTACCTATGTTTTCACTGGGTAAGCTGGCTAAACAACATGCAGCTCTTCAGCCATGGTACAGGAGTGCTTCACTGTAGAAGCCTTTATTGTGACAGAGCACAGATCTCACCTCCCTTCTCAAATAACCACAGTGAAGCTTGTCTTCTAAAACCTAAGCACAATCTGCATGCAAGGACAGATTATTTCCTCCTCTCCTGATAATCTTCTGTTGACTGATCTTTGCTCAGTTTAGGTACCACAATGCTCCTAATGGTATTCTTGTATTTCCTTAAGGTAATTATGGATGAAAACAGCTTTTTCTATACATTCTGAATTAAACATATGTTTTACTTCCTTCAGTATAAGATGCTTCCTTCCTGGGGGATCATGAAATAGTTGATGTACACATTATTTCCAATGCAGTCCACAAACTTAAGATGTACTCAGATAAACTGCCTCTATCAGAAGACAAATTCTCACCAGCATTACAGTTTCAGAATTCCTGTATTGTTGCATGTTTGATAAATAAAACTTTACATAATTATTAAATTTAACAACACTAAAGTTACAAAATACACTAATATACATGAAAACATTACCAATAACTACATGTACCAGGCTTGAATTCAGTCAAGTGACGGGATATTAACAGTTCTGGTTATTCAGTGCCACTCAAACGCAGCAGACGATTTGACAGCATCACTCAAAAGCCCTCTAATTTTGATACCTTCACTAACGAATACTAATGTATTAGCACAGCACATCTTGTGGCAGGCAATGATTCTAGTGGGTATTCAAGGCTCTACCTAAGATCATGTTTTTCAACAGGCGACATTCAGTCCTCACATCTGATACAATTTTGGGGCATGATCTCTATATAACACTTTCTGACACTATTTTAGTAATCGTCACAGCATAAATAAAACTTAAATGGGGGGGGTTAGATGGTAAAGCTGTACGAGTAATGAATGGCTGTATAATTGCTGTCCACTCAAACCTGATGAACTGTGAAGGCATGAATTTTGATTATGAAAGCATAATAGAACATATTTTGACAGGAAGTTGGCCTGTGGCTTAATGCAGTTAATAAGAATTTGAAGAAATGGCTATTATGTATGTGCTTTCTCATTTTCAAACATCTCAGGAGGGCTGCTCCAAGTGAAAAAATGTGCAACTTCAAAGTATTATACATGTAAATGAGGTAACTTTGCATTTAAATGAGTCCAGCTTTTGACTAGGTGTATATATAATAGCTGATCTTGCATATACAGTATGCTCTATATACACGTTAGGCAGAGGATAGCACACATAAATGATTAAGAACTGAGCCAAGTTAAAAACAAAACAAAAATCTACTACATGAAGAATGTCACAGTATAAGAAACAAATTCTGATAAGAGAAGCATAATCTTCAGTTGCACAACCCTCAGTATAGGTCTGTGCTTTCCCAGCTTACCCAGCAGTATCAGTGTGACTGGATTGGGCTAGCACATATGATCATATTATGGATGTAGTAGAACAAATAATTCAGCTCTTGGGCATAAAGTCAGACGATACAAAAGAAATTCGTCAAAAAAAAATAACCTAGAACTGGCAGAGCTTCATATCATATGACTACTTCACATTCTGTATCTTTGGCATTCTTGAGCCAGCATTATGAGTCCAAAAGCCAAATTTTATTTCCTTTTGAGCTACAGAATGCAGGTACTCATCTATTCCACAGTAAAAGGCTGTGTTGTAACTTGTGCTGCATTTCAGCAACATCAGCCATCTCACGCTACCTTTCATTTACTGAAAGAAATATATATGCACAGACACTAGCTACTGTAAATGATGTATTGGCCTTTGGTTTTAACTTTGATCTTTGACCTTTGTGGGTTTCAATTTTAAAATACACAGAAAAATTATTAATTTACTTGAAATTGTGCTGTTTTGACATATTTGGAACCAAAGCTGACAAATTCTTCACAGTAAAATATGATCAGCTGGGTGAGAAAATAAAGGGACAAAAAATAGTCAATGGGAAAAGGAAGAGTTTCTAAAAATACCCTGTTGTTTAAGCAAGTTTGATGTGGTTTCCATTGTTCTAACCTCATTCACAAGTTTTTTCCCACCCTACCTACAACTTTCATACAAGACACACATTGTCATAGTACTGCCACAAACCTTAAAGATTAGGGCTAGCTAAGGGGCATGGGAGCTTATGACAGGAAACTGCATTTTCAGATAGCGTTAAGTCATTGTACTTACAAATTTTAAGAAAACATTTCCCAGTTCGTGCTGGGACTGAGGTTCTGGTTGTAAACAAAATTCCAGGGCAGCCAGGAACTCCTTGTGAACACCAAGAATGTCTTCGATGTTAGAAAATAAGATCTGAAATATAAAGTGGGAAACATTGCTAGCTGTTAATACACTCAAAAGTATTCTGTTAAAGTAGTTGCACCAAAGTATTGTGGCTCTAGACTTGTGGTGATAGGATCTAAAGGAGAGACAGGGACTCTTACAGAATTAATTACACTGTATTTCCCCATTTCCTGCCCCTCTACGGAAATCTTTATTGCTACTGAAGTACCTGCTGTAAATGAAGGTTATCTTTCCAGATACCTCAGCTTGATGAATGAGAGCAACCTCTTTCAAGTCTGGAGATTTCCTATGAGACCAACCAAGTGAATGGAATCACAACGACCAAAACTGTTTTCCAGGAGACAGAAGCAGGAAGTCATTTGCCTTTCCTTCCCTTGCATTAGAAATCACTTTCTGGAAGGAAGGGACTTGGAAGTTATTGCACACAAGTATGTACCTGTAAATAAGATACTAAACCTGTGGGATCTAGCATTTCACTGACAGGAGTGCAGAGTACTATAAAATTTGCAAGCCACACGGGCAGCATTTCTGAGTTCCCTTTTGCTGACCTCAGCAGTTCTAAAAGGCCTATGTAATGGGATAGCGGTCCCCAGTTTAGACAGGTACTAAGAGGTAATTGTGCAATATTTGAATATACATGTGCTAAGTGGAATAAACTGCCAGAGTGAAAGCTACTATAAATAAGTCTAATCATTAAAGACAGGAATAAAACCTCAATTCCTGATTTAAAACCAGTTTCTCTCTGGTTTTGCAAGTGTAAACGAGATCAGGAACCCAAGAAGCCTTCCTCTCCACATGTACCCAGGTTCAATGCTACACCTTCTGTTATTCAAGGATGGGCAGAGAATCTCTCAAACTCCTCCTGCAAGCTGAGTGCATGTTCAGAGCAGAGCCTGTTGCATCTGCCTTCTCTTTGCTCCACTCTCATTTCAAGAATACCAGGATATGGTAGCATGCACCACTGTTAATGCATACTCGTGCCTCATGGCCCCTTTCTAGCTCTGAATAATGTGATTCCATTACATTAAAGATTCCAACACACTAAATTTGCAGTGATGGGCTCTGGTCCAAAATAAAGGACAGGGAGCTACGACCATTTGACTACTTCCAGAAAAATTCCCATGCTAATTCAAGCAGATCATCCAATGGTTCTGTCACGTGGCTGAAACTGATGTGATGACATGGTAGCCTCTGTCTGCATGGCTTTGCCAGAAACTGTGCAAAAAGGGGATTAAGAAGAAAGAGGAAAACATCTGACAGGAATGATTTTATCCTTCAGGAGCAGTCTTTGGGGGATATTCTTTTATCCAAGGAGTATCTGTGTAATCTAATAAATTCTGAGGTGGTCAGTAGAGCTCTGCTTGAAGTAGAATTCACAGACGAGTCATTTGAAGATCAAGGCAGCGGAGAGATCTTGACTGCATGTGCTTCTACATGTAATATACAGTTAACATTTATAAGCCTCATGTGATGATCCATGTCTGGCAGCTTGTGCACACCCTCAAATTGTACTGCCTTCAACCTACTGTATCAGTAAGATGACATCAGTGCCTGCTATGAATGCAGTACAACACTAACATATCAATGGAGTTACTCCCACATGAGGCAGCAAAGGAACTAAAACCATTTTATGATGTTGCTGCAGCTGTAAGTCACTGGAGTACTTGTGAAATATCGGCCTGGCACGAGACTCAGTGTGGTCTTTCTGGAAGGGGATACAGTGGCCAGAGATTACCAGAATCTCCAGTGCTTAGCACCAGCTGCAGGAGGAACCTGCAAAAATAATACTGGGAGCAATAATCTGAATTATCGTAAAAAACACTTTCTCTTTCAGCTCAGAGGTGGGCGACTGCCAGAATACCCTGTATTTTCCTCCAGACTGTTCTGCTGCATGAAGAAAGAGAGGAAAATACAGGCTTCTCCTTACACAAGCTGCCAAACCATTTATACAGCCTCTGCTACCAGCCACCTCACAGCTCTGTGGTGACTCAAGATACATAATATTAAGAGGTAGAATTACTGCAAGTCCCAAAATCACCTTGCTTGTTCTGCCTCTACCAGCAAGGAGGGAGAAAGGAGAAGGAAAGAAAAAACAAGTATTTTCAACTATAGGAAGGAATCAAATTATTTGGGGTAGGGAAAAAGGGGAATTGGAGGGGGAGGTAATACTGACTGATCAAGGAAATTGTGCCTTTATGACTCTATTTCACCAGAATAGGCATAGGCCTTTTATTACCAAAGAGAAGCTCTTTTATTGAAAGTTGGGTATTGTAATATTAAGAATAAATGAGGTCTCACAGTGGCCTCAAAAAGACCCCCCAAGCACTTCAAGAATGACACAGAAATGAAGTAGTACTTCCCCAGAAGAGTGCAAGAAACTTCAAATACAAATACATTTAAATCAGCAGAGAAAATACACATTCTTTGGCACAGGCTTTGTGGGCACTGCATCCGATTATGTGGCAGTCATAATTTTCGTTTTGATCATATATGAATAATCATAGAATAATAACTTTCATCAACATCTGTGGCTGTTCAAATTGGGTAGCTTTATTTCTCATGCACAGCTTAATTTTCACACTTCTCTGCACATGAGATCTATTCACAGAATCGCAGAATGGTTTGGGTTGGAAGGGACCTTAAAGATCATCTAGTTATAACCCTGCTCTCACAGCCAGGGACACCACTGTCACTAATCACTTATCTACTTCTTCAGCTACCCCTAAACTTACTTCAGACTATAGAAGGTGAGTCTGCGGGGAGCAGGGACTTCCGTATTTTAAGACAGCAAGAGGCTTAACTCCACAAAGCCGCCAAGCCACCTTGCTACAAGCCCCTTCTGATGCCAGTCAATACTACAGCATTGCCAGCCTATGGAATGAGTAGCAAAAACAAGGCCTAGAGCTCTGCTAGGATCTCTATACATTCAGATAACACTAGCACATGAAATGGAGTAACCAGCCTTGGGGAAACAGTGCAGTAGCTATTATTGCTGTGCCCTGCTCCCATCAGTGTAAAGGGCAAAGTTTCTGCTGATTTAGAAGCTACAGGAGCAAATGCAAGCTCAGTAAGTGAGCCTCTAATGGCAAACAAACTGCACTCTGTCCCACTGATCATCAGGTTTCACTTGCATGTGTGTACAAAGAGGGCTTTGGTTTCACATGCATATGTGTACAAGGAGAGTTTTAAAGCCAAATTAGTGCAAGAAAGCTTTGCTTGTATTTATGAAAATAACAAACAAGGTCTCCTGTGACCACAGGTACTAGAGAAGCCAGTACCTCACAGCTCTGTCTTCTACTTCCTAAGTCCTTCCACAAGAACACAAAGTCCTTCCCACTAGACCACAAGGAGTATTCCTGCCTCCTTCTCATGAGCCTTACCAATTTTAGATTTGTAAAAGACAGCAGATGCAAACTGATTAACTGAATACTGTCAAGTAAAACAGACAAGGGCCGTGCATTCCCTGCCTTTCCTAAGACACTGAAAAGGCTCCTCTGTCCTCTGCCCACCAATTCACAAATCTTGCCAAAAGTCAGTATCTCTGACAACACTATGCTGTTGTCAAATTTTACTGAAATTAACTGGTGGGATGAAAAATTGCAGGAAGATGACAGCTATACGAATGGGCAAACAGATTGACAGATAAACTGTCAACATGAGCCTCTTCTCCTTAGGGAACCAGTTTAATAATAAGCGTCAATATGAGATGAGGATAGTTGATATTCATATCCCTGAAACTAGCCTTTCATTACGTATCATTTTCCCTGCCAAGAAAATGAGGAAGATGGAAGAAATACCTTAACATTCTCCTCTGTTATGTACTTCTCAGCTTTGTCCACAGCATTCTGGCGGATCCGGTGAAGAAATGCCTGCAAAGATAAAATAGATTGTGTTCAAACAGCTTGATAAAGCTTGATTTCACTCTTTTATATCTTCTAGGTTCACAGCAACAGAATGTGATTGATTGTCTTTAAGACTAAAAGAATATAAACACGCACCGAATCACCACCGCAGTTTCTAGAGTCAGGGCTGCATTCAGGGCAGCACAAAAGACATTTCCTACAATGTCATTGGGCTTTCCCTGGCAATAAATGTCTTCCCTCTGTTGAAATTTTTAGACTTAATTATCTGTTACTACCAACAGATTACAGCAAGTGTCTGTTTGAGTTTTCTCTGAAGGTCTTCCCTCTCTCAGATGCAGCTGTTTTGACTTCAGAAGGCAGCAGGCCTGACACACAGCAAGATGTCAGCAAAAAGGACTGCAAAGAATGACAAAAGGATATTCATGCTGCTGGAGCTGAGGCATGACAGAGCTATGAGCCAGGGTTATGGACAAGTTCAACAGACTAGATACATGGGGAAGGGAAATGGAAATCACCAGACAGGGGCTGGGATACATTCTGCTGTTTGCTGTGCTTCACTTGGTTGAAAACAGACAAAACAATGCAGGAACTTTTCACGTAAGCCAGGCTTCCACTTCCTTCAGCTCTGCATAACTCTGCCTTTAACAGGCAAATCAATAAAAAGCTCCAGGCCAGATACAAATGGACAATGATCTGAATATCAGCCTACAAATCATAACTCTGGCTACTGGAAGCCAGGACCTACTTGCATTTGCACTGAACGTACCACGACGCATTTGATTCAGTGGGAAGCACACTGGTAGGATTTCTGCTTCAGGTTTCCACTGTTCTAGCAGCTATCAGCTAAAGGGCACTTCAGACCTGAGAGCACAGAATTTTATCTTCCACAGACATCAACAGAGGGATGCAAATACCCGCAGGTGAGACTGAAGGGAAGCCAGTGCTGACAGAACCTGCTGTGATAAACTGTGTGACCCATGCACAGCAGGGCAGAGGGCTTTCCTCTCTGCTCTTGTTCGTGGTTTCCAACTTACCTCCCACACAAAAGAGTGAACCCTGGGGAGTGCTGCGAGCAAGGAAGAAAGGAACTTTTCTTACCCACCTGAGACAGAGGGGAAGCAGGTCATTTCTTTGTATTTGTGGTACAAAGCAGCTTTGTTACAGCTTGATAATAAAAGGCTTTTAAAAGTTGAACTATTCCTGTGCAATGCCCATGTCAGCTGATGCACACTCAGCTTTTCCTTTTTTCCCCTCTGCCTGTTGGGATTGGCAGTAGTTTACAACCTGATAAGAAGCAATGGCACTGAACCAAACTTAGAACTTCTGGAATGCCTTCTCCTCTGGTATTTTGGGCGGAAGACAGGGAACATGTCTCTCTGTCTGACCTCCAGCACTAACACAAGCACATCTCTGTTTCTATTTAGGCATGGTGCTCTGTCACTTGTCAGCCATTCACATTTTACAGGACAGGCATCCATAAAAGGTTAATTAATGAGGCACACAGACCCTACATTTATTTTCAGCCCTTCTTTTGAACAAATTTCAAGGACTATAACCACATTGGTTCTCTTGCATCGCTAAACAGGAAGGAGATCCTGGCTACATTCCAGCTAGATATGGAGAGCTTGGAGCAGGTTGTGCGGACAAAGAAGTCTGAAAAACAGATTCTTGCGTTTAAGGCACAGGACACGTGTGCCAGTGGTGGAAGAGGCCTTTCACAAGAACAAGCCAGTCCACTTCGCCAGTAACTTGGCCACGAACTGCTGCAATGTTAATGTACTGCCCAGCACCTTGGCAACAGTCAGGGAACTGAGATGAAGTGTTCAGCATGATGACTAATGGCAGGAGGACTGACAGGAATAGCTGTTGCCTTCCCACTTCAGTGCTGGGTGTGATATCTGAGCACTAATAATCAAGCATCTGATTTATAGGAGGTAGCACATCATATTAAAGTCACTCTCCAAAGATAAGCCAGGCAGAGACTTTTCCTTGCTTTAATCACATATCTGTTTGGAGACAACAAATCCAATTGGAATGATTCATTAATCTACACAATTAGCAGCTCCACTGGTGACTAATAGTTACCTGCGTATTAGTCCCAGTATGATGAGTCTAATTATAGAAAGCTGGTAAACAGAAGTGCAAATCCCATTAGCTGTTACAGGCTAGTCAGTAAAAAAGTAGAGTCTGTGTTAATCTAAAAAACAGCTTCTCTGTGATGCTTGTCTGAAAAGATCATTTCATGTGGGCGTGAGAAAGGGAGAAAAGGAGAAGGAAAACCAAGCAAAAAAAATGAGAGAGGCACAGAAGCAGGGAGAGAGCAGAAAGGATGAAAGACGTAAGAGGGAAAGAGGCAGTCAACTTTGTAGATCATCTGTCAAATCTCCTACAGCTTCTGATTTGTCCTGATGTGCATGAACAGCAGTCTTTCCAGCAGTAATAAAACAAGACAGTTACAAGAGATTTCAGTCCTAGAAATTTAGTAGAATGCTTTCTAAAATTCAATCTTCCCCAAAATACCAGAACTTTGTGGATGAAGAACTACTTGTTCCCCAGTTTTCAATACCTTCGCACGTGCAAACAGAATCTTTTGTAGCACAGTCATTCAAATTAAAAAGCATGATAAATACAAGCTATTAAACAGCAGCTCATAGAGCTAATCTTGCATGCCCTGTTCACATGACAACATCACTTTCCTTCCAAACCACTTCTAGCTTGGAAAAAACAGCCCTTTTCCCAGAGATGTTGTTTAGACATTCAGGTCAGTGTTTCCCAAACTTTTCAAGTGACTTTTTGTGCTACTAGTCTGACTAGGCTCTAAGCTCATCTGTACCAACAGCATCCCTCTACTCACGTGGTGACACAGAATTGAAGATCCATTATGCAAGCAGTATGCAGCTCTCTGTGAGAAACAGAGTGGTATGATCTTTTATTAGACCTATTGATTTATCTGAAAAATCAGACAGGTATTTGGGGGAGGACATGACAAAGGTGATGACAAATGAGAGAAGAGGGTGGTGGTAAATGTTAGAAAGCTCACCATGTCCATCTTATTTATATTCCAAAACATATTAAAGAGGAAGTTGTTGAAGGGGTAAAGGCTTCTCTGGCCACCTAAAAAGTTACTGAGGCAAATGCTCTCTCTGCCTGCTGCAATCTCTTCATGCTCTACACAACTTGCAAATTCAAAGGTTCCAGTCCTTGGTATTTCCCACGAGGAACTTTCAAACACCCCTCAATATAACCCTCTTCATCTGCAACACCTTCCATCTCTGTAAAAATTAACTCCCTATCCTGCACAGATACGGGGAAGCATAGGGTCAGCTTTCTTGAGAGCTCTTGAAAAACATTCCTAAGACTTGGGGACTCCAAAAAAACCATTCCAAGGACACAGCAGGATGATCGTGATCACTCCTTTGCTTCAGCCTAAAGCAGAACTCTCTACTGTGGTGTGCTGTTGGTTTACTACACTTACAAACTATCAGGGATTTGGGGAACGATGGCAGTCTGTGATACACACTGGAGAGAAGGTCTGGTAGAACCCATGGGTCCAGAAAAAAAAAAGATCACAGTACAGTGCAGGGAAAAAAACGTGAAACCAAGCTGAGAAACTTTCATTCTCCTGATAAAGGTCTATAAAGGTCTCATCTTCCACGAGTATGTGCTAATCATTAGGAAAACAGCCCAGAGTGAATTTGTTTTTGTTTAAAATTCTGCTGCTGCATCAACATAACATGTATTTGTGCACTGTGACTTGTTGCCCTCAAGGTCTGCCGCTTCCAAGCTCAGCAGGCCATGTCTGATGCTCCTCATGTCATGCATAAACACAGTTTACAGCTTGTCTTACAGTACAAATGCCTTGAAGGATTCAAGCAGATCTATGACAAATCAGAATGAGCAAAGTGGAATGCTCTCCTTCTGCACCCTGTCATGTTGGGTAAGTCACATTCAATAAATACTAATAGAAACACATTACAAATCTAGAATGCAATTTACATATAAAAGTTAATTTCAGTAAATAAGTACTTTTTAATGGCCTCTTTTTCATGAAGGTGTTTGTTCTTCAAATCACTAGCCTTACAGTCTACTGCTGTAATGAAACCTTATTTCTTTGGGTGTCTTACCTCTGACCCACAAAAGCAGAAAGCATACCTTAAGGAAAGAATCTCCTAATTGTAAGCTGTTCTCACATAAACAGACTAAAGCAATTGGGATTTCTCCCAAATGCTTTTCAAATGGCCCTTGTTGAACTTTTGACTTGCAGCCTTGACTTTATTAGGAAAAATTAGTGTTTACCACCTTCTATGTAGCAAAAGTAACACATGGCAAATACTAGGGACAAGGCAGTGATAGTTTGTTCATGCCTCTCAAAATTCATGTCTGAGGCAGATACTTCCTCAAATGTTCAGAAATAGCAAAAGATTTGATTAAACAGCAAAGCAGGCAAACCACACATAACCCTGAAGGAAATGAAAGGGAGAACAGAAACAGACCAACAACGATGAGGCAACTGGTGACCATATCCAGAAGGAGAAATATGTAAAAGCACAATCCTGTGAAATCCATTTTATCAACAGGTGACTGGAATTTCATATTGCTCTTAAGAGACAAGTGAGGCAATTCTGTCACGTGTCAGTGAGCAGGACAGACTCAGAACTACACAGGCATCTAGGTGAGCCTCATATTTTCAGAGTTAAACTGAAGAGTTTGCTTTACACTTATGAAATCAATTGTTTAAAAATTTCTTTTAAGTGCAGACATTTTGATTTCAGAAAAATTTGCTCACAGTGAAAAAGGAAGAGGTGACATGGACAATGAATTTCATCATTTGATCACTACTGGCATCTCCACCTTGCAACTACAGCTTAGGGGCTGTTCCTCAGCCCGTGTCTGATGGTACAGAGAAAAACTTGTCCTAAAGACTTGAACAAATACTTGCAAGTGTAACTTTAATTTTCATTTCTTCCATCACCTGAATTAATGTTGCCACAAAATGTGGCCTAATA